CACCAGACACCCTATATATCTGTTTATTCATTGTTGGCGAAAATATCAGTTCACAAGAATGGTGAATCCTGTTCTCTTTGCTCAAAAATCAAATGTCACTTTCTTCCCTGGCATGTTACCCAGTCACTTCAGCATTTCAATCATGTGAATCCTTCAACTATATGTCAGTAAAATCAGTTATGTGAAATATTTTCCTGTTAATGATAATTTTTGATTTCTCTCCGTTATTAGTCTTCACACAGTGTATGCATAGTTAACATTTTTATTCTTTATATATTCTTTAGATTTGCTCATCACAGAGTACCTAATTCATGAATTTCAGGTCCAAGTATTTGTACCAGTGCGACTCCCTTGACCACTTTCTCCTCAGCCGCAAGTTAAATACCTTCAGCGCATGGGTAAGTTCAAGAAACTCAGAAGACTGATTTCTCCCTTACCACCAAGAAAGAAATTGCATCTGCTGCAAGTCCTCTCCCACTCTGGGAGATGGTCTGATGCTACATGAAACACGTCACATGACCTATCAAGCCAGTGATGCACTGCCTGCATCTTCTATCTTCCTGCTTATTGGTTTTGGAGTTAGGAGAAGTCACTGAGAAGGTCCTGCCTTGTTTTTGTCTCCAAACCCCTCTGGAAATCCTGTAAACCTGTAAAAGTATGTAATCTACAGCCATGTCACTCCTGTTGGTGCTGACTAGGACTAGTCTAAACAGGCTTTGTCTATTCATAGAAATGTCAGTGAGTAATGGATTAAAAAAAAGATTTGAGAACTGCTGATCTAGGCATAGTAATTTCTATGCTGCATACACATACTTAATTGTTTTCCTCTGTAAATGGGAAGCGGAAGAATACTGCAGTGCTCTAATTCAAGCCCAGCTATGGCTGTTGGAGTTAAACTGCTAGCACCACAACAGAATGGGGGAAGCTCCACTGTCCCTCTCTTCCCTCCCTCCCAAGAACTTTCCCACCTACCTTGCTAGCACAGTCAAGATTTTGCCTTCATTATGAGCTTCTACAGCATTCTCAAACACTGCCAAAACCAACACACAGTTACAAGCGTATATACACAACCGCATGATCCTCACCCTACAGTCTCTCTAGACATCTTGACTGCTACGTCTTTATATCAGGGTATCAGAACAAAGCTCAACTTCAAATTAATCTCCCAATCTGAAGGCTTTAAGAGAGCCAAAAGAAATTAAAAGAGCATGAAATTTTGAGTTACCGACCCAGCAGTATCACTGTGTAATGGCCCGTGTTCTCCTACATAGGGAATGGAAGCACAAGTCCATCAGTCCCAGTGTGTTACCAACCAACATGAACTTCCCCTTCCAATAAAACTTATAACTTCCTATAAACATAACAAAAATTGAACATAGTTTTGAGTCTTTGTTTGAACACAGTTTTGAGTCTTTATTTCAGCAGAACTAGCAAGGAATACTGCTTCCAATTCACGTTGAGTGATGCATATACAATCATTACTGTTGTTCCAAGGTGTCAGTGCGAGCTCTAACAATCCTCCATCATAAAGGTTTGGTTAAGATTGGACAGAGGTTTAAGTGGTTTATTTCTTAGAAGGAGGGTTCATATACTGTTTTCTGTTGAAGTGAAAATCCAGTAACTTCTAGCCCATGTCAAAGACCCACAATGTTTAAATGAAAGAGAATGGTGGAAGAATAAAAGAAAAACCTGTTAATAGTTACCTGATGAGTTCAAAGAAATATGATAAATAATTAGGTACCAGACTGCAATCTGGATTGCATTTTTTTTTAAAATAAAGCAACATAAAGACTAAAAAATAAGCCTCTATTAAAATGATATTTTTAATGACAATTTTTTTAATGACTGTTTTTTTTTAATTCCAAAACATCAGCAGGTTCAATCAGTACTTACATCCCCAAATTCTCATTTTGGGGATAATACCATCAGGTAATTTATTAAAGGTTAAGGACTGCTTGCATACTACCATTCCTCTCATGAGGTGTATTTAGCACAGGGTATGGAAAACTGGGAAAACATTTTGCAGGTTAGGTTTTGTGAAATACTTCTTCTGGCTTAATCTTTTGTGCCGCAGCTGTGCCAAATATGCCCCATACCCAGGGACATCCCAGGAACATCAGACACGGAGAAAGGAAGGAACCCAGGAGAACACAGAATCATGCTGATCCAGTACAATGCCTAAAAAAAGGGCAGTAAACATGGGAGGTATTGTATTCACAGTTGGACAATGAGGAAGGAATAAAATCCATGTGGAAGACAGATTTCTTAATCTCTATCTTAAAATTTTATACAGTGTACTGTGTGCTGGGGCAACATCTTCTTAGGACAATTTGTTCAATTGATCTCTCTATATTTAAAAAATGTCCTTCCATGTTTTGAACAGACTGATGATACAAAATGGAAGAAGGACCCTTGAGATTTTGCAGTTTGCACTGCCAGTATCCCATTATTCTAATCAAAGGTTATCAATAAGCTTGAGTTGCAAGTTTTGGTTTTATGGGTGCTTCACAGGATTAGTGGCAAAGGGGAAAAGAAACACACAGCTCTAAGTATGGAAGGAAGATGAATACTAAGAAAGGGGGGACCCACTGGTTTTTGGTTTGAATCATGTGGAAAGTGTTCCCCTCTCTCTCTTTTTCAAAGAGAGCCTTTTGGAGGCCAGAACCAGATGAAGTATCGATTTGTGACCCAAGTCCTCCGTTTTTTTCCATTTCTGTGAGGCATCCAGCCCCTTCTCTGCTGAGGAGAAGCCTACAGTCCATTCCTCAGCAAGTAGCCCTGACCTCCCGCAAAAGGAAGGTTGAAGATGTGCATTGTGACTCAGAGATTTGATGGAGTCCTTCACCCTCCAAACCTGAAGCCAGACATTAATAAGCCAGAGCTTGCACAAACACCGTGGAACAACAGTCATCATTGTATATACATTGGTCAACATGAATTGGAAGCAGTATTTCTTGCTAGCTCTGCTGAAACAATAATTAAATTCCAGTGAGTTGAGAAGAAAGATAACAAGGAGAAAAATGGTAAGTACATGGACTAAAAGGCCAACATAGGGGAAGCAAACTGGTAACATTCCTGTGTTCAATGTCTGCTTTTGAACTGCACACAGGTGTGTTTGGCTAGCAAATATTCAACCCAGGCTAGCAGGTTTGCTGGTATATGAGAAAACAGCTCAGTTGCATGTAACTAGAAGCCCAACATATCAAAATTTCCCTCTGAACAAGTGCAGAGGGGGAAGACATATGGTAAATAATTTCCAATTACTAAGTTTCACTTGCATACCACTACCTGATGATGAAATCTTGAAGTCCCAAAACTTGCTTGTCTACAATTGCAATGGCTTGGCTCTCATTAACTTACTAATGTAATTCAAACAACAGTCAAAAAGGCAAAGCAGAAATGAATAGAAAAATCTTGCTGTGTTACTGGAGCTCTCACAGTTCTCTCACACTACCCGGTTTTGATTAGTGGCTCCACAATGTGCACACAGGTGCTGCTAGCAGGTGAACAGAAACATTACCCAGTTCTGGAAAGGGAACTTAAGAGACCATAAAATAAATCGGTCTTCTCCTAAGTGCTGTAAGGGATCAGAGCCTAAGAGATCAGTGAAATGATTAAAAGAAAACCACTGACCATAAGGAAAAAATCCCATAGTTGTAAAGACAGTTCCCACTCTTCTGAATCACAAAATATTTTATTAATTCTAACATCAATTTCATCAGTCCATCCCGCAGAGACAAAACTGTAAAGGTGCTCACAAAAAACATTTCATCTGCACGGGTTTAGAAAGACCTTGGAAGAACCTACATATGCATGCCCTACAGGCAGAAGCCCTCCTCCCACACCCCAATCATATAAATAGGTATGCCAAAATGGCATGCACTTATGAGGATTCAAAGAAAAGGCTGTACATTTTTAATAGAAAACATGAAAAAAGACAAATAACAGAATACATCCAAAATTAATCGAAACAGATGCCAAGACTTCCGAGGGGGAAAAGGCTGAAATCTTCATGCTTCTACACATAAGCATATCTCCAGCTGATATAGAAATAAACTTTCTTTATGAGCTGAAACCCTTTTAATCAATATCGTAATGATGATGGTCAATGACCAAATACATTGCTGTACACACTAGTTGTCCGATTGGGTAAAGGCGATCCCACACACCACAACAGAAAACATCTTGTACCGCTGCAGATTAAACATCATGTTTTCAAAAGGACTATGTGTTGACATGACCAACTTGGCAGAAAAGGAGTTCCCGTATAAAATGTAAGTCTTATCTCAAAGACAATCCTTTTTGTATCAATATCAGCTGCATATCAATTAGTTGCAAAATCACTTTTGTTTAAATAATCATTTTTTATATGAACCAGTTAAACATTAAAATTTAATGAAAGATAATTTATTGGATTAATTTTCTCTAACTGTAATTTTGAAATTTGTCAAAAGAATTATTGTTAGGTCTGATCCTGTAAATTTGATGCATTTGAAAATCCACATAATGTAAAGTTGTGCAGTCTGTGACACAGCTGCATAGCTAGATCCATGTGAATCCAAATAGCTTTCCCAGAGATCACCTTTAAATATTGTTGCCTTATTTCTTTAAGAAAGATGAGAAAATCCCTGTTTTGCTCCAAAATTGGATTTAAACATGATTAGAAACTTGTCAAGTGCCATGAGCATCTAAAAACTGTCACAACATTTAACGTATAATATTGTCAAGCATGTGCAATCTGTATGCATCTGATTGTTATTTGTGCAAAAACATGCAGACCTGCTCTGCCTTCATGTGCAAATCCACACTATCTTTCGTGAGGGTTTTGTGGTAGTCAATTAGAGCAGAATCTGGCCTACATTTACCTTCTTGGTATTTAAAAGACAAGAAAAATTATTAACTATTATCTGTTAAAAGGCCCAACTGCAGAATGTTTTAGTAGAAAAATAAACATTTTAAGTTATTGGCAGATAACATTAGTGCAATTATTTTGACTGCCTTACTTTCACACAGTAGACTAAAAAAATACATTGTCACTTGTGAAAAGAACCTAAGACACTTCATAAAAAGTTATGTAGCTGCCAAATAAAGAAAAGAAGAGGAGCAGATTATGTGGCATGATATAACCCCTGCACTTACTTTACGTAGCTCTCAATGCTTAGTGCCTTTTAATGCTCCAGAAAATGAAATTCAAGGCTTGTAAACTGATTACAGTTCTTTCCATACAAAAATATATCACTTATGTGATTTTCAAAAGGCTAACTGCTGACTAGAGAGAGAACATTTTCATATTCAGCTACATCCTAGATGACATCTGGATCAACTTCTTTCTTTGAAGAACCATTTTTGGTAGTCCGAGTTGGTACATGGTCGTAACAATGGTGCTGGGTTACCATTGTAAGCATTTGACTCTGCTTGTACGCACTTCTGGGTGTGTGGATGAAACAAAGTACCGTCCTACAAAAGACAGAAATAATTTTTGTTTTTCAGGTCTTAAAAATTACAGGCATACCATTGTGTTTTAAAAGTAACAGAAGACATTCGTAACAAATATCACACATATCCTTCTCATGGGGCCATGCAATGAAGCCAAAATGCCTAACATGAGAATCTCTGAAACTCTATCAAAAACACCCTGCTTTTAAACTTACATTGACATTGCTTTAGAGTGATTCATGCCTGTAAAGGATGTGCTAATTTCATTCACTTTCATTGCCTTTTGTTACTGCACCAGAATATGGGCAGAGAAAACCAAAGCCAAGCACAGGCATTACCCAAATTCACCACCTCATTGCACATCTTGCAAGTAAAATGCAAACGTTGTTAGTTAAGTGTAGATGTTGGATATATTCTCAGAAAAAAAAAAAAAAAAAAAAAAAAAAAAAAAAAATTCCCCTTTCTGTACAGGGTATATTTTTAATGGAAAAGGCAAAATAATCTAAGCATGCCCCTTGCCTGAAGACGTGTGTGCAGCCAGCTCACTTTGCTGAAGGGCAGCACAGCCACCCTGTAAGGTCTGACAGGCTTCCACAACCAGATTCCCCAGGCAACATATTTTGAGGCCTCAGGCCCTCCTATTACAGGAGTCTCCAAGGAACATTTTATCTCCAGTTCACGCTCTAATCCGGGAGTGCTGTCAACTAAGATAACCAGCTGCAAAAAATGTGGTGGAGCCAGCTGTGGAGAACTGCCCTGCTCCCAGGCCCTTCCTTCATTTGGCCCAGGGGACATTCCCACACTATGTAACCATTTCCAAAGCTTCTGATGGCCTCAAAAGAGAAATGCCAACACCCTGTTTTCGAGTGCAGCATAATCCTGCCTCCTCTGAACACCTGCCCTACCCCCATCAGGCATGTCATACTAACTGGGCCTCAGCCACCGCCCCCTGCCCAGCGGTGTGTGCTGGCTCACGGGCTTGCCCACAGACTGAGCTGCTGAATGACTTTCCTCTTTCCGTCTGTGATAATTCAAATTTTTGAGTGGACTAATCAATATCTGCCTCACTCCTTTTTGACTCGGTGCCCATCAGAACTTAAGTCTTGCCAGGCTGCTGGGAAGGCTGTTCAAACCTTTTGATTATGCTACATCCGTAAGGACAGTTTTTTCCAGTCTCTGACACTTCTCTGCACAAAGCAAGAGAAATGGGGTACTGACACCTCACCCATCACTTGCCTTGAAAGGCAGGGACTGGTGATTTTGATTTAATGCAATAGAAGAAGAGGAATTGGAGCAGAGCAGTAAGTTAAATCACACACAGGCACAAACTGATCACAAGAAAGAAAGAGGATTTAGCATTTGAAACTTTAGGAATTATTTTAAAAGTGAATGCAGTGGAAACAGATGTATTCCAAAACTGTGTTTTCCCAATTACTTCCTCAAGTGACTGAGGTTCATTCAATATATGTCATCTTGGGGATCAATGCATATGACCTTGAAAAATTTTGTTTAAAGTCAGCATTAAAAATGAAACACTATTTATAAAGTCAGCCTTTTAAATATTTTGTTCTGTGAGCTTCAGTCTGGACTAGATTTAGTGAATGGACAGTAGTTTTCATATCTTTCTTTAGAATTTACTCTGCTGCCTATCACTGGTGGTAGTATCTAAGCATGAAATTTGTCAACCATGGAGCCTGTAGAGTTTAGATGCATTATGCAGACACATTATGTAAATATACCATTTTGATACATTATGTGACCTTTTCCCTTAGCCAAATAATAACACTCCAGAACCTGACCAAGGCCATCATTTTTCATCCAATTTATTTTCTCTCAGGCATCCAGGAACTCCTTCAGAGATTAAAAACCACTAAACTCAAGGTTTTCTAAGATCACTTTATGTTTATTAATGTACTCCATACTTCCCAGTATTTCTCCCCTTTGGGAGCAGGCATTAAAGTTGAAGAAGAGGGATACACATTTGCTGAGTCCCCCACAGCCGGTAAGATGTGTCCTGTGTAGGGGCAGGAATAGAGTAGAAGGTATTTTTTGATGGTGCATCAAATTACACAACTGCACATTACATTGCAGAAAAGCTCAGGGAGTACTTCTGGTGCTCACAGGGAGGGTCACGAGAGATGGTTTGCAGAGGAGAAGAAGCAGCTGCTCAAAAGCAGAGATGAGTATAAAGTAATGATGGTACGTGAAATATCAGGCATACATACATGGTGGTATAAATCCTGGGAAATAAAAGAAGTCAATGAAAGGAGAGCAGAAGTAGGCCAGCCAGGAGACTGGCTGGGGAAGTGGTATATGGAGGCACCTCAGTTCTCAGAAGAGAACAGTAGGGGTGAGATGTGAGAGAGAACTGAGCAGCCTGCAGAGAGTGCTAGATGTGGACAGGGGAAGGAGAGACCTCTGCCAACCTTCCCAACTCCTTTGAGGTTAAGGAGGGCATTTTCCTTCCTCTCATCTTCCTATTCTTTATGACTGGCATACTCTTAACCTGTGTGCTGCTGCTACCCTGGCTCTATGTTCAGATATTAAAAGCCAAGATAGCATACCTCTCTCAGAGATCTATGCCAGTGTTGTGGCCTGCATGATGTGTAGGCAGTAAGATAAAAATAAAAAAAAAAACTCAAAAATTATTCTTCTACCCACTCTCAGAGAAACCAAACCCAAAACCAAGCAGTCACACTTACCTCTCTGAAAACAAACTTTTGGTTTTCAGGAATATTGTGGACATTTTCTTGACACAAGTACATTGTCAAGTAGTCGGTCCCTGAATCGACTGCTGCACAGACTTCTGGCTGTCGAGTGTTGTAACGTATTTCATTATGGGATGTGTACTCGAAAAACTGCAAACCCAAGGGAAGAAACAAAGGACAACAGTCATTTCATATGTACACAAGAAAGTATTTATAAGGAGGATATACTAAGATGCTATAATTAAGTTCGCATATTAAAGTTGCTATTGTGGAGAGAAATTTTGCCAAAAATATTCAAGGAGCCTTAACTGCTGCCATTTGCTTACTATTTTACAGAAAATCAATCCCACCACAGCACTGCTTTACTCTGGTAGCACTTAAAATGTATGAAATGCTGAATAAACGCCCTGGAAAGCAGATGTTCCCCCATTAAAGAGCTTACAGAATTCAACTGTAATATTCTACTTTCACATTCACGGAAACCAGTTTATAGCCTGACATTATGCCTTCTTAATTCAGTTGTCACAAAACAATGTTATTTTTAATTAAGGAGTTGCTCACTGCATAGTTCAAATGCAGTTTGGTCAAGATTCATTTCCAGTTACAAAGTACTCAGGATGCATGGTGATGAGCATTTTATTACATAACATTTTAAGGTATTATTTGGAGCAAATCAGCTACAGCTGCTTTTTAATATGAACAGAAATTCATTCAAGACAATTTACTGGCTTTGCTTGTTGTACAATGTTCTACAGAGGTGTTCTGACCATGCTCTAAAACATCTTGGCTTTTGTAGCAATTACGGCTGAAGACTTCCTTAGAATTTTGATATTTATCATGGACACTTGCCCAATTTTGGATTTCATTAAAGAGCAGCAGCGTTTGAGGGTTGTTTGCATTCAACACACTTGTAAATAATTTAGATGACTATAATGCACAGATGTGTGTTTAGATATGATTTAGATTTTACTCAGTAGGGTAGAGGAGAGTTTTATACACATCAGAAAATTTCTTGTTTCCAATAGTATAGCTGCATTAGTGGAAGGCAATAAAAGGGTGAGGGAGAAAAGGAATCCTTCTTTGTTTTGTTCCACCCCTGGAGAGAGAGACTGTAAAGCTTTGTAAAGGGGGCTGTACCAATTCAGAAATGTATATACTTGAACTTACCACAAAACCATCCTTAACAACCACCAAGGCTAATTAACCTTGAAAGAAAAACTGGAAGTGAAGTTTTAACAGGACCACGTGATTACAAAGTCTGCAGTCATCCATTTCCAGGTGTAAGAGCTCTGACCTAGACTAAGATGACAGTAGCTGTTTTGTGAAATCTCCTCTGCCCCTCCTTTTGTCATGATTGGGACTTTCTCTGCTAAGGCGGCTGTTGCAGCTGTACACAGACCAACGCTGTCCACTGCATTAGCTTGTGGAGCTCCATGGTTCTTCTTTGCAAGTGCAAAGTGACCCCCCTCGGAATTCACCTGTTCACCATGATGCATTTGTGATGCCGCAAAGGGAAGCAAGTGTTTCAAGAAAGCAACTTCAAGTTTGAAGTCCACCTGCTGACATAACACCCAGGAGACTCTGGTTTCCCCTTGACACCTATTGCTAGGACCTGCTCCTCTGATGTAGGCTGCACTGCCTTTACGACATTTGCTTTATGCCAGAAATGCCTCATCATCAACAAAAGTAAAATGTGATAATACTGACCCAACTTCTTTTAAAGTATTATTATTATTATTTTTTACCCTAATCGGCAGGGGCTTATTACCTGGGCTTCATGCTTTAGTTCTCAGGCTCAGTACGTGACTGGCACACAGAAAGCCCACTACTTTGGGCCCCAAAGTGAGCTGTAAGGGCACTCATTTTAAGCCTATGACCAGCAAATAAAGAAAAAGTTTCACTCCCACTCTTTTCTGTCTGAGTGGACACTTTTTTAAAGCTGACACTTTTACAAGGCCACATTTAGAGCCTTGCTCGTTAGTGGATTTATAAGATAAAACATATTTTCAGCAATTTGTATTCACTATCAGTGAAGGCCTGCAAGCTGCTGATTGTACCAGATCTATCAAGAGCAGTTGGAGCAGCTACTAGGTCATAGCACTCCTTACTACTGACATCCTTCCTGAACGGCCTCTCAAGGACTTGAATCAGTTTTTGGAGGAGAAGAACAGGAGAAGAATGGTTAATTTCTGGATAACATTAAGGATTGGGGTTATAGTATTAGCAACCAAGCACTCCTGCTGCCTTGCCCAATGAACATTATACAGTTCTTTATACTGCTTCAAATGGAATAAATACTTTAGGCTTTGGGATTTTTCAAGCTCTGGTAATATATGAGATAAATCTCTTCCTTCTCAAAAGATGAAGTGTTTTTTAGCACTCTATCCTTGCCCAGTGGGTTCTATGGGCAGAAGGGAAGCATGGAAGCATTTTCAAAGTGATCCATGACCCAGTAACTAGCAGCGTTATTGCATTTCTTTCCTTCAGAGAACCAGTAAGTTTCCTTAAGTGCTACTGGGAAACTTGATGCCTTTTACCTACCACTTCTGAGCAATCGATGGGATATGCCCCAGCTGCATCAGAGCTCTGTGGTACAAGGGATAGAGTGAGATTTTGGCTGCCTCGACAGATCCTGAAACACACTCTCATCCCTCTCTGTGCTTGGGTACTGCTCTTCTGCGTGCAGGGAGAAGTTTGCACTTGACGGGTAGAACCAGCAGTGAGGTTACCAGGTCTAATACTCCCTTCACAGAAAACTCAAGGGTTTTAACTAAGTTCTCTGTTTGCCTCAAATTTATCAGCTGCAAATGGGAATATTGGGGGGTACTGTCAGACAAAGCAGGATGCTCAGTGGTTTCCCATCCTCTTACCACATCAGGTCAGCTTCCTGCTATCACATTGATCCCCTCTGTACTGCTTCACAGGCACACCAAGAAGGGCAATGAGCTCTACTAGTGTTAAATTTCAAAGCCTTTCATTCTCATCTACCAGGGCAGGCACTTCCACAAAACATCAGCAGCCTGAGATGCAAGCACCAAGTAGCCAGTGTTTTGCATATTTTCTGCCTCTTTGCTGTATACACTCAGCTCCTGTCACCACAGTTGTATCTTCACCTTCTTGCTATAATAAACACAGTAATTTTAAATAATCCACAGTTAGCTTTCTTACTGCTTACACAACAGCAATGTGGGAACCCTTCTCACTTATGCCATGGATTCAAGGAAAAATAGCAACAAATTACCAGGGACCAGAGTTTTCCGAGCATGGTTTTACTTACTAAGACATAAAATGGGAGCAGGTGCTGGACTTTATAAATAATCAAGAGCACAGAGCTCTCTCCTCTCAGCACAGTGCACACAGATATTCAGAGGTCACTTTAAGTGGAGAATTGCTTCCAGTGAAAAGAGCTTTTGCAGTTGTACCCTACATAAACAGCCACCTGCCACTAGCTTATCACGCCAGAGGATTGGGTGTACTGGAGTGTAAGACACAGAGTAAGGTAACCTTCATTAACCAAGGTAACCTTCATTAATGTCAAATCCTATCAAGATGTTTTAGAGAGTAACTTTACTGAACTGTACTCTGGAGAATAAACTTCATGCCTTTTTACCACGAGACAGTCTGAATGTGCAGCAGGGAGTACTATTTGAGGAAAAAAGTGATGAATCGTAGAACAAACCCTGCAACTGGAGGAGGGGATGAGAAGGAGAAGACTAGAGGATTAAAAATGGGAGCTAACCAGGAAAGAAGAAAGGCATGTGAAAAGGAGCAAAATGTGACCTAGAGTGGGTAGTAACTGGTGGGAAGAATAAGTGAGGAGAAAGACAGAGCAAGGCCATTAGAGAAAGACTGGGAGCCAGCCAGCATGGAAAAGAAAGTGTTAAATAACATGGAGCAGAGAAACTGGAGCTGTCTGTGACATGTGATGCAGGACAGGGGACCAGAGCGAAGCTTTGTAATTCGGGTTTGCTCCTAACACTGTATATAGGTAATGAGTGGGGTGATAAGAGCAGACTGGAGGAGAGCAGGCAGAAGAGCTTGGGATCGGGATGGCAGATTCCCTTCCAAGGACAAAACAGAAGTTAAGGGCTGCCTGCTGTCAGCAAACATCTGTGAGACTCTGCGGTGAAGTGCTTTGCGCTCCCCAGCATTGATACAACTAGAGGATGACCAACCCTGTCACCATCAGTTCCATTAGCTGACAGTGGTGGATGTACACATGGGAGATTTGACTGTTTTGGTCCTGCCACTGTCACCTGCCAGTGTAGCTAAAGAATGCGCACCACCAGAAGCAGCATGTCACCTTTTAAGAACAACTGTCAAAAGGGCAGGGGGATGGGATGGAAATGGAGAGAAGTGTCCTGGTGGTAGGTTTCACGGCTATTTGTGAGCCAGAAAAGGGAGGTACAAGTTCAGCACTCCTGACTTCCATTTCCTATCTCACTTGTGCTTCTACGTCTTATTTTATTTTAGCCTTCCTCTGCTCCCCCACCCGCAGCTCTTCCTGCTCTCCACTTCTTCTCATGCAGCTACTCCCTGTCACCCCTACTCATGCCCCCATTTACCAACTGGTATCTCTGCTCTCACATTCAGACCCCCTGCTCCTTTCCACTAAAGGGGTCTCCAGGGATTCTGCTTGTTTTGCACTCCTTCCCTGTAGCTCCTAACTACTCCTTCTTCTGTCACACATGCCCCGCTCCTCACCTGTTGCCCTACCTCTGCCCCAAACTTCTGCCTTCTGTCACCTTGGCCCCCTTTCCCTGGCTCCTGTCAGCCCTCCCACGCCTTTTGCCCATTTTCCTAACATTGTTTAGTGCATTTCCTGTGTTTGGCCTTCCCTCCTCAGGCTCTGAAATCCTCTTGTGTCATCTCATGTTTTCTTTTATGGGTTTATATTACAGTCAGGTAGTTTCTCCATTTCTCTTCCTCCTGCTGCCTGGATGTCAGCAGAGGGAGCACTAATTGCACAGCTCTGAGAGCACTATTGCTCTGGGTCTGGTGCCTGCTATCGCAGGTATGTGGGTGCATAGCACCATCAGCAGAGATGTAAGAGCATTAATATCCAGTGACGTGGTATCTTTGCAGTAAATTCAGTTACTTTTGTAGTGCTAGCTAAACAAAGGATAATTAAAAATGTCATCTCATGACAATTCATTTCTGAACTGTACTTCTCTTTTGCTTTCACCTTTTATCCTGTCTTTATTTTTTCTCAGTGGAAGGGATAAAATTTAAATAAACTTCTTTGCTCAGAGAAATACTCTAATACAAGGAAAAAAGAATTCTATAAATACCTTTTGCATGTGAGCATGTAGTCCCATACATGAAATACTACTTAATCTACAAAAGCAATCAACTCTTCCTCATAAGGAAGTGGCTTAACTAGTTTATGAGATTATTAGCTTTTCTTCTATATAGGTATATAGAAGTGTGCTTAACTTGGGCATGGAGCTGAACAGAGGGAGTTAAACGGGTCGATGTGGCATAGCTTAGTGTGCTTGACACGTATCTGTCAGTACCAAGATCTTTTGGCTTTTGTAACACAAGATTCTCCTCCTGCCCTCCCCTGCATCTTGGGCTCCAGGACCGAAGTATTAGGAAAGACAGAAACTAGACATAAACTAATAAATAATAGTAAATAATAGTTCTAATACTTAAGGCGATAAACTTGCTATCAGAAATGAATCTACTTCCTTTTAAGATCTGAAGCACACTGCTCAGACTGTTGTTTATTTTCCTTTTCTTTCTTAAAATGCAGTTCATATTAGAAGCTTTCTCCTCAATACAGACTTGTTTTTCACTCCTTGAGCTTTTATATTTTTTTAAAGCAGAGTTCAGAAAGGCACTGCTTATCTGCCACATCTCTGGTTCTTTTCCAAACTTGTTTTTCCTTTCATAACAATGTTTGGATTAATTTCCTTACAAAACCCTAAACAGTCAAGCCACCCAAACTGTCACATGGTTATGTATTTACTTTCAACAAGACCGTACATATTTCTCCACCACTCTCCACTAGAAGTATGTCATATAGTCTAATCTGGGTTAGAAGACAAAAATCAAGCTAGACAGGCAAGCATGTTACATGCCAAACATCAAACCTCAATTGTAGAAGGTGGCCACTCAAAACCATGCAAAACAAGCATCGTAGATTGGCACACAGTACCCCGCAACACTTTTACCATGGCATTACGCAGAGAGCTTTATGAATATCATAACTAACCACTGCTGCACACAGTTTCAATCAGCATAGAGAAAGACACCAGCAAGCATTTTCAGCTTCAGAAGTTAAAACCAAGACAGCAAGAATGAAAGTATTAGAGGGGATCCCTGCTCTCCAGGATTCTGGATCCCGAGCCCAGGAGGACATTTCTGTAAAGCGGAGTACAGGAGAGGATGCCATCCAAAACCTCTTGTGCAGTTACACCAAGAGGAGGAGTCATGATGACAGACACAGGAAAAACTAGGTGAAGTTTGCAATGTTATTAAGGGCTTTGGAGACGTGGACAGACAAAAGCTCAGAGATGTGCTGGTCTGCCCAAGACCAGGTGGAGATGAGTGAACACTGTCCTATAAGCACTATAGCTGCACTGCTGCTACTAACCCCTGCTAATGAGCTCTGTGGAAAGGCATAATTAAGGCATGCATGAGTTCCCTGGCCTGGGTAGACACATCTTCAGAATGAAGAAAATCTGCCCTGCAGATACATCAAAATCAAAAGCATTCCGTGGAAGTATCAAAATTAGATCTAAGATCACGTCACTGCAGCAATATATTCTCTCAGCCCTACTGCAACGCCTTTACCATACTTTTTTACATTAAAACCATAGTGTTAGTCAAAATGAAAATAAAACATGAATCTTACCTGATTTTGTCCCATGCCATGACATGGGTACAGTATGATCCTGTGTCCAGTTACCTGATGTTCATTCGGAGGGTTATAATCAAAACAGAAGTTTGCCATTCCTCTATTCTTCAGCTAATCAAAACAAAATAATATTTTAAAGTATTAATCTAAAGTAAGGAAGATATGCTGTAGTCACTTTACAGACATTTTGCACAGCTGTGAGGTTTATATCCCAGAGCTGGTGCAAATTAACTGGAATAGATCAAATGGATCCAATGGCAACATCTCTCTGACTAACGTGAAACAAAACTGTTGGGACCATCTTGACTTTAGGCATTGAAGCAGCCAGACACAATGGCTTCCCCTAGGAATGACCCTGTCTACCAGTGCATTTGCAAATGAAGTAGTCAGGAACTTTGAAAAGCTATGTTGAAACCCAACAAGCCAGCAACTCATGCAGAACAAAAGAGTCTGCCATGTCTTCCCCCCCCCCCCCCCCAGAATCAAAAAGTCCCCCCCTTTTCCCCCCCCCCCCCCCAGGATCTACTTGTTCAATTTTCTTATTTGAAGAAGACTACACACTTTTCTCAGTTTGTCAAATGGGAGTTGTTAGAAGGATTTGTTCTCCATAGGACTCCAGTACCCTCTTGAGGTTAAACAAGCAGACAGATTTTAAGACCAGAAATCACAAAAGCAGGTAAGATATATCTTTGGAAAGAGACACTATGGGTGATATTAAGTGTTCTTTACTAGTGTTGCTGATCTCTGACACAATAGGTGCATAACTTTTAGATTAAATTTTAAAATATTGTTACCTGTTTTTAAAAACATCAGGCTTTTTCAGAAGGAATTGCATTTAAGTATTCAGGAGGCAAAACTTAACTGAAAATAAGTTAAACAATGCCATTACAATTACTGACTCCTAGTATTAGCTACTTAATCAAATTTAAAATTACACAGAGCAAAACAGGTTCTGTAAACATAGGTTCAAGCTGAATGCCCCCATTATTGAGTGTAATTATAACACAGAAAAAAGAATAAGCAGAGTAAATCTCAGAAGAGTTACTTCACCAAGGTGTAATTTCACTGCTCTTCCCTAGTTGTGAAAATTGTATCCTCATTTCTTAACATGGAGAATGAACGGACACGAAGGGATCACAGAAGACTAAAACCAAACAAACAAGACAAACCCTGGAGGACCCAAACCCACCACAGAGCAAACCACACAAGCTGGAAAATTAAATATTTGTGTTTTAGATATATTTTGCCTTCTCAACTTCTACTTTTTCTACATCTTCTTTCCACTGCTTTGTGCCCGCTCCCACTGAAAGACAGCCAAGCTCTCAGCACTCTGCATGCCTGGGCTGCCGGCCCAAGGCAACAGCAATACACTGGGGTCTGGAGAGGACCACCAAGCCGCCACAGCTTGGGGGCCCTTGCAGGGCTGCTGGGGTTGTGAGGCTCTCCTTCAGAGCCAAATAAAATGTAGGACTGAAGCCCTACCCTTACAGGGTTTGCCTCTTAATTCCTCTCTGAACATGTTTCCACTATGCATTTGGTGTAATTTTTCAGTATGGGATAAATTAGAATCTGAATTTGGTATATGATAAAATTAATCCTTAATTTTAGTGCTCAAGTTTACCGGAAGCAAAAGAAACCCCCTGGGCACCCGTTCTACACAAAGCGCTGCTTGCTTTGATGGGAACACACTAGACCACTGCACTCGTCCCCGAGCTGTCAAAAGAAGACATTTTGTTTACCTTCATAACTCTAGGCAAGAATTACACTAACAAAAACAGGAAAGAAAAGTGTCTTTTACAGATAAATTTGAAAACTACCATGGAACTACATAAACCAAACAATAAGGTTCTCATGTTTTCACGTTCTACATCAAGAAATGTCAACTTAAAGTCATAACCACTTAAACATGGTAATTGTATCTCTAAAAACACAAATTAGTTTCAGTTGTTGTAAGCAGCTGTCCTCAGGATCAGAGGGTTTCTCATTAGTGTGTTTAATAACATATGACTTTGACTGTCTCCTGGCTCCAAAGGAAGATAAGTGCAGCAAAGCCCTTAACCATGGTGCCCTTCCAGACAACCGAAGGCCTTCGCTACGGCTCCGAGTGTGCAATCTTCGCTGTCAGCCCCAGGCATGTGCTCGAGCACGTGCTCCCTTTTGTGACCAGGAATTTTAAATCACCTATTTTAAAATGCCATGCATGGCCACAACTACAGTAACTCTCCTACATGTTACTCAATGCCCCAATACAGACAACAAAACAAAAACTGTGTAAAAGATTACTAACTTAGGCTTCATTTCAGATGGTTTAAAACTGAGCCTGTACTCCCAGGATGCTACCACATATGTTCTCTCATTTTTCTCTTTCATGCACAGATGTTTGAGGTACATATAGACATATTCCTAAACATACACAGTCCATACTTCAACCTGGTTCTTTTAGTTTGTTTTATCGGACATCACTAGATGTTCTTTTATACCCACACTTCATTAGGAAGCCTAACAGATATTCAAGACATAATTTGTGGGAATAGTGCATACTAAGCTGTCAAGTGACCTGATCTGAAATGACAAAGATTTGAAAGTAATCCAATTTGCAAGTTTGATCACAGCACCATTTATTAAAAAAAAAAAAAAAAAAAAAAAATCCACCTTCTGTTCCAAGGCAGAAAAAAGCATGAGATAATTTGTGAAAGTAGTATTTTTCTCCTGTAAAATGTGAATACACAGTTTAAGTTCCTTTTACATGCAACAGCTCTACCAAAACAGTAATCATCCATTCATTTCTGAAGCTATCTTTGTTCACATATCCACCATAAACAGGTCATGCAATAAGAACTAAATTTTCTCTGTGACTTACCTTAATTCCTTTGCAGAATGCTGCATTAGAGAAACAGAAGCAAGAAAAAAAGTTGATCACCTTACCATCAAAACACATAGTTCAGTTCCAAAATGTTCTGCCCATGCAGGATTACTGGCTCCATCTTTCTACAACTTTTGCTTCCTTTTGAAGCACTGCAGGTGCACTCTACTGTGCCGTTTAGTTACCATTCTGCTTGGAGGCTGGGACAGGTACTGAACAGCAACTACTGAGATATTCACTTCAAACTTTCACCCCTTACTTCTTGGAGAAACTTAAATCTGTTGTTTCCTAACATCTGGACACTTGCATAAAACAACACAATACAGATGGCACTCCATAAATAATTCATTGATTTTTTTTTCTTTTAAGATAAAATCCATTTCATATAACTGTAAGCAAAGCAGGAAGAGATTTTCTACACTAAGACTTCATTACATTAGTTGATAAATACTGAGAGTGGAGCACAGCCAACCTTTCCCTTCATCCACAAAATAGATCAGAATCCTCTTTATTCTGCCACAGTGGCATTGGTGCTGATGTATTAGTGGTATGGGCAGATGATACTATGGGACACAGTAGGATATGAATTTGTAGCAAGCCAACAGCTTCACGGTCCTGACCAGGCATAAGCTTCTACCTCAAAGGTAATCCGAGCAGTCACAGGGAATGATTTTACTGAGTGTATGCTATTTTCATATCAGTCTTTTTGGGAAAAAATATGAATATCCTCAGATTTCTGTTAACTTCTTAAGTGCAATGCTGAAATGGGTACACAATGTTGATGACTAAGATCCTGTGAAGAAATCAATGATATGACACTGCTGTTGGAATTTGGTTCCTTACCCCAGCAAGTCCAGATCTCCCTAGGAGGCTCAAGAACATACAAGCACATGTCTCAAGTGATGGTGTGTTCACTTGAGATCAGTATCAAACACTTTAATTTCTCCCACTTCCTTTAAAAATGTCTGTCTTAAGCTTTCAGAGGCTGTACAGCCAACAAAGTGGTACATATTTTCCCGTGATGGGCTTCAGATCTCCAGATCTAGTCAGCCATAACCTTGGCTACTAATTCAATCTCAAGTGGCAGCTCTACAAATTGTATTATAATGAAGTTTTAGAGCTACCCTAGAGGAGGCTGTTCCAGAGCCTGATAATCTCTGAGAACTCTTAACACCAGACATGCCATAGTCTTTTTGATTACATGACTTAAGCCACATAGCTAAGATCGCTTATTCTCCAAGCCTTTCTACATATATCTTGTGTTATTTAGATAATTTACAAAATATTCTCTTTCACGTCACAGCAAACAAAATTTTTCATAATTTTAAAGGCTTAAAATCTTTCTTCCTGATTTTTTTAAGGTTATATCTGGTCTAAATTAAAAGAAAATTATGACTAAGCATTTGGAAATTCATTGAAGATAAGATGGTCTTGGGGGGAAACGTGGAAGAAAGCTGCCAATAGAAAAATTCAAGTTTTTGATCTCCCAACTGATTCAGTCAGTCACAGATGCCTTTAAGGACAGGTGGCAAAATGAACCATCAGAGACATCTATCAGCTTACTTGTTTCACATTCATCTGGAAGAAAGATCAGCTAGGAACTGTTTCAGAAGAACAAAAAACTTCTTGTGTCAGAACATAATATGGTCTCACTGACAGGGGATCAAACTTACAGAAAAAGATAAAATCCTGCTCTTTGTGTCAACACTGTCTTTTAAAAGCAAGCTGGATGCCAACTTCAAAGCCAAATTCACTGACTGACCATAATCTTTATCCTCAGATATGCACCCTGAATGCCAGCCATATTTAGTATACCTTAGAGGGGAGAGGAACCCTGACTATTCCCTTGCTTTACAGACATGCATTTCCACAGTCACCAACAACATGAAAAGATCATGAAGCTTCCCAGTTCCTCTGTCTTCACCTACCTGCACAATGCAGCAATGACACAGCACTAGTACTAAACATACAAGATTGCTCAAAGCTCTTCCTAGAAGTGCCCACACCAACCCTTCCCAGGGCAGCTAAGATTTGTAAGCAGACCTAGTCTGAGCTAGCTATTTAGGTGGACAATCTACACAGACCTGGGGTTCAAGTCTTTTTAAGATTTCACACCAGCTGAAGCACAAGTACAGCGCACAGTTTGCCAGTAAGTGCATGCTCAAGCATGGCCAAATCAGACGTATGCCAGAAAAAGAGAGACATCAGTGCTCTACCAGACCCTAAATGGGATTATCAGCTTTTCCAGAAATGCTGACATCTTATTATTTTAACCCACTAAATGCCTAACAACTTCACTGCCTCCCATCCCCCCAAATAAATTATTAAAGTCAAAAAGTTTAGTTCATGTCCCACATAAAGTTCCAAAGCTACAGGGAGCCCAAGGACAAATAAGAAAATATTTCCCTCATTTCTAGGCCTCAGGCAGTTTATAAGAATGCAATCACAGCTCAGGCAAAAATATTCAAAATTCAGTATGTTTATATAAAGTTTTAGGCAGCTAACTTTTTAGACAAGCAAGCTTAGTATAGATATTTTTATCTATGTATCAAGAGAAAAAAAAATTAGCACAAATGTCTATTTGTCAGTGCATGGCACTGAATGCTGCTCAGTAATTCTTGCATTTATTTCAGTAACGTATGGCTGACCTATGGGTAACCTCACAAAGATTTTCAACTTCAGTGTAACGATTTTCGAGGGAGGGAGAAACCCCCATATTCTTTTGCACTCTCTTTGAACAATTAAATAACCTCACACTAAGCGGAGCTGTTAACAAACCTGGCACTTTTAAACACAGTATTTTTGTGAACCAGAAAATCACTACACAGCTAAGGCAGGAGTAAAGAACACGATCAGTGATTCATTGAAGTTAGCAGATGGCACTCAATATCCACAAATCAGTTGAATCAGTAGGTGTCATTTTTGCACTGTCACTTTCTTAGAGTATAGCTGTACTTTAATCACATTTTAAATTCTTCCTGCCACAAAAAAAAGGTATGTTCTTGTTATGCTCACAGCTAGATGACAGCATTTAAGAATTGTTTTTAGAGATATATAGAGCACACCTAAATTACACCGTAGATACCTCAAGCAGCTCCGAACAAGAATTATTATTTCTAAGTCTTGTCAACACCTTTCTTGAGGATGATACGTGCAGTTAAATCATGAAAGAAGCAGCACAAATCCCTTCCCCTCCCCAGGAGGCTGAAGCACTATCACTGCCACCAGTCTAGGCTTTCTTTTGGAGGGTGAAGGATTGAGGAGGGGGGGAGGATAAGGTTACTGACATGCTCCTGGAATGTAAGTCTTACAACATCTTATTGCTTCAGCCATCTCTGACTTTGTCAGTTACCAATCCAGCACAAAACAAAACATGAACCAACATTGTACTGGGGTCTGTTCAAGGTACTGGATGATGGTGGATATGACCTTTCATGCCAGTGATCACATAGAGATACCAATTCAAGTGCAAGCTCCGAGACAAATGGAGGAAGGTGGCCACTCTCTCAGAGGCTCTTAAGGGCTTTGCTGCTGACTGATAACACTCCCTGTGAGAAATCCAGCTCCCCATGGGAAATGCAGCTCCCATAGGAAACGCAGCCCCCCGTGGGAAACTGGAGTGTTTCCACATTAGGATCTCTTTTGTTCAACAGGTAACAAAGCTATTAGGAAAAAGCGCAAGGAGACTTGGTTCCTGCCTGTTCTGTATGCCCACAATGATCAGGTTTTTTTTCCTGCACCAAAGGAGATCCAACAGAGACTGAGTAACAGAAGCACAGATGGCAGCAAGACAAGACTGTTGTGGTGCAGGCTGGATGCGATGCAGCAGTGTGGGAATGCAGATCTGCAGAGTGATCAAGTTACCAGCAGAAGTACTTCGAAGTCAATGTGGCACTGGTAATCAGGAAGGTATTTTAAACCTCTTTGCCTGGCAGAAAGGTGCAGTCTTGTCTTCCTAATAAGACACTCAGCAGGTATCTGCTGATTTTTCACAGGAAGCAGGTATTTGCTGCATCACCTCTGCCTTCATCCTTTCCAAATGAGATTATGGTAATGTGATATATGTAGAACTATGGTTCATATTTATATGTAAGCTGCAAATAGCATAGAAAGTTGTCAACTCTTAAAAAAAAGAAGAGAATTCTGACACTAAACCAATGAAAACTGCTTGAGAATCTGTGCTGGTCTAAAGTGACCTCCAGATTAAAATTTAACATGTTGGTTTTGACATGCAGAATCCCATATGATATGGAAGCACACAACACCATCTCTCTTTGCTGTCATCAGAGCATCAGAGTTTTAATCAGATAAAGTGTGCAAACACATGTTTGAAAGCACACTCTTCCTATTTTCAAATTGACAACTGAAACCCAGAACACTTTGGTGCTCTCTTTTTTTGCTATGCAACATTTTAACAAATTAAAGTGTCATCCTTTGTTGCCTTTAACACTCCCAAGTCATCACTTGGAAGGCATAATTCATGGCAGCATTACCCATTCTCCTACCCTTTCACAGAACTGCTTTATAAACAGCATCCCCTAGAATAAAGATTCGTATAGAAACCACACTTTACAGCCTACCAGTTCTAACTGAATTCCATCAAAATCTTAAACTGTTTTCAGCATAAAAATACCTTCATACTGGTTAGTAAGCGAGCTCAGAGAACCATGAGGAGACCCCTTCTCAGCAGCCACGTACCATTCCAAAGAAGCCTGGTCTGTCCTCAGGTACATGAAGCTCTGGGTACACATTATCCAAGAACCATCTGAAGTCCTTACATTTCAGCTTCTCTCGAAGAAGTTTCCTTTCTGTCACATCTCCATATGGTTCCTGAAAGAAAAAAAAAAAAAACACAAAAAAAACAAAAGAAAGAAATTATTGAAGAAACCCATCCAGAACAGATGCTCTCTTTTAAATTATCTGTATACATTACTAGGAACTGTATGCTAAAGCACTGAGTAGGACTTTTAGCCAGGAAAAATCTCCATGCTTGGGTGCTGGATTTGATTTCATTATCCTTACACTTGTTAACTGTTGAAAAAAAAAGAATTGGAATGGTGCATGTAAAACTTTAAAACATTCTAGAAAATAGTTTGTCTGAGAAAACTCCCCAAATCCACAAGCAAGGAAGTCCTTGAATACAGATCACTGGTGTCCTGGTTGCAGCTGAGACGGAGTTAACTTTCTTCATAGTAGCTAGTAAGAGGCTGTGTTTTGGATTTGTTATGAGAAGGCATATTGGAAATGAAAACTTCCTTCAGCTGGATAACTGAGAATCTCAAAAGCAGTGAATGAATCTTGAGAATTTTAAATTATTCCACCATCAAGTTGCAAATTACCTGTACAGACAGTTTTATACTTAACTGATGAAATCTGCTAATTTTTACTTTGAACTTCATAGTTTTGGGGGGTGGGGAGTATGAAATCTTAAACCTCTAGAGAAAAACTTTCATTGCAGACTTTTCTCTGTCTATAGATTGAAGCAGGGTTCACATCTTTTCATCTCTATCTTAAAAAAATCCATGCGTATATTGACTATGAACTTCAGACAGTCAGGCATGAGATACTGCTTGCAGCCCCCCCGATTTCTACAGGTCA